GCTATCTCGAAATTCTTCTCTACTTGCCAAAACCAGATCTCTGGGTCTTTTGCCCAGAATGGAGGAATTTTCACCGATATTCGGTTGACTTCATGATTAGCGGTGGCATTAGTATTCATTTTCAAAAAAAAAAATCCAATAACAAGTCTCGAACTATCACACCGAAGATCACGTCGGGGTCACCACTTTAGGACTTGATGGTTCAATATGTTTATAGCTGCTGAAATTACACGCGGGATATCGAAAGAACTATTTATTCAATATAGAAAATAACTAAATTAACAACGTGTCAAGGAACAGTTTTTTCTGACATTCGTTTTCAATTCTTGTCAAAAACTTCTCTGGTTACAGAGTGATCTGTGTACACCCACAATTCTCAATGGAATATTTGCATATATTCCATATACATTCAACATTGTTGCTCGCCCAACATTATTTTGACATCATCCTAAATACCGATATATCACATAGTCGTCATTTATTATATATAAATTTACTATATATAGTTTCGCGCCTTCAAAATTCTTTCGAGAACATCCGAAACACCAAGATATAATATTTTTCATTAAATTATCTTCAATGTATTTTTATGAAGATGATCGACGTCATGATCGAATTGTGACCATCGTAAGCAAGACATTCATCTCATGATATCTCACTCATGTTGAATTCTCGATCTGAATTAGAAATAAGAATGTTTTTATCATAAATATAGCGGTAGAACAGTGATAATTCCAGATATGAAATATATATGCATATATTATAAGAGTATTCACAATTAATAATTGTGACTATCCTAAGCAAGAAATTCATCTCATGACAACTCACTAATGTTGAATTCTTGATTGAAATGATATATGAGAATGATTTCATCATAAATATAGCTTCAGAACAATAATAATCCCTTAGATGGAATATTTGCATATATTTTATATACATTCACGAATGTTGCCCCCCAACGTTTTATTTACGTCTTCAGAAATATCAAAATAATATTTTTTTTATAATATGTCGAACAGGTCAATGAACTCATATTCTATGATATTCGATTTATGTTGAATGTTTTCATTAAAATGATTGATGATACGAAAATAGTTTCAGAACGTCGATAACTCTGGAGAAAAAAAAATATTCACTTTTTTTGTCCCTTAAAATTTTTGTTGGCATCACCAAAATATGGTATAGATGAGAATTTTCCATACATATACTATCAGTTACCCAGATGTTTCACAATGAATTATTGAATGAAATGATAGATTGAAATACCTTTATTACTGATATATCATCAGAACTATGATAATATTTTAGAATACATTCATTCAGATGATTCGAAATATTTCACTTTCAACGTGTGCACTAGTGCTAAAAGTAATTCACTTTCAACACCAGTGTCATAAAATGACATTTTAGACACTGACAGCATGCGTCAAAAATAATACTTTTACTGACGTTTGTAGAAAAACTCTTTTAACGCAGTCACACTTTGGGGCTAATCATGTGATTTGTCCTCATTGAAATGATATTCATATTCTTATTTTATAGAGACGAGGTGAGAGAATCCCAAAAAATCTGGAATAATCGATAGATATCATTGATTCACCCTCAGTAAAAACGAAAGGTTTAGGAGTTGGTAATCAATGAATGGAATATTTTTTCTGAATACATTCAAAGCAATATACTTCGAGAACTTAGCGAGTTAATGAAAAATATGCGTACAGATAAAAAATATTCACCCGTAAAATCATTGGAAATATTCTATAACATGAACATTCCCTGCCGACATTGAAAATTCAATAGTCATCTTCGAAGATTCCAATAATATTATCATTTAATCTTCGATATTCGCCTTCACTATGATGTTTACTTCACGTACAGTTCCGCAAGTGATGCATGATTTGTTCGTTCTTCATACTACTGAAATTTAGAGATACTCCAGATGGAGCTACCGAAGGTATACAGGCTGAGTCATGAAGAACTGTACATGCTCCTACTACGAATAGGGGCACCTGAGGGAAATACCAAATGACCGTCAGATAGTTTCTCCGCCTCTTCAAAAATAATCTATAGGGTGATTTATAGGATATGGCCAAAACTTCTTTCAATCATTACTTTCTAACAGTTATTTCGATTCCTTTCATTTTTCCATGGATTATGATGCTGTCACTCAGCAATCACTTGACGTATCGAGAATCGTAAAAAAAATCCAGGACCGGTCTTGAGAAATTCTGCCAATTTGGTTCATATCAAAAAGTTCACCCTGTATAAGGTTTTAGTGAACTGTGATATGGAATTGTCGAAGTTGATGAACAGGTAACCAAAATGAAGTATTTCAAATTTCCCTCACACTTCCATTGAATTTCTTAGAAAATGATTAATTTATACAACACGCGAAACTTGGGCAACAAAATGAATTAATTTGAAAATTAATACTTCGCAATGCATGAATTTCACGAATAAAAGTAGGGATTATATAATTTCCAATTCTTCAGATCAACAATAATCAACATACTTTCATTACCAGGGCTGGATTCAGTAATTTTTTGGTAGACGGTAACAGCATTGTACACTGTATGATTTTATCATAATGGTATGTGCAAATCTTGAAAATCGTTATGAAAATTCGAAAATTCGAATCAAGAATTTTCCAGGCAATTTGTTTCAACAGACGGGTCATCAACTGAAATCAAGAATATTCACAAATACTCAGAATCTCTATTACAAATCTATTAAAAACCTCAGAATATTTGAATGCTTCAAGCTATAACATTCGTCCATCACATTACCTACTAAAACATCATACAGGATGATCATTATATTTCACAATAAAAAGAAAGACAACCCTGGAAATTATAGTCATGTTGATTATCATTGAGATTGGGAATTGGAATTGATGTAAATCTTGCTTTTATATGTGAAATTAAAGCGTTGCAAGTATTTATTTTAAAATTAATTATTTTTTTTACTAAAGTTTCGTGTTTGGTGATAATTCAACTTCAACTTCGAAAATTTCATGTCACAGTTTACTAAAATCATATACAGGGTGAAATTTTTGGTGATTATAACCCTCTACCAAAAAATTACTGAATCCATCCCTTGAAAAAGAAAAATGTTGATTATTGTTGAGCTGAAGAATTAGGAATAATTTTATCCTTACTTTTATTCGTGAAATTCATGCATTGCGAAGTATTAATTTTCAAATTAATACATTTGTTGCCAAAGTTTCGCGTGTAGTGGAAATTGATCGTACTCTAAGAAGTTTGGTGAAACTCTGAGGAAAATTCAAAATAACTTTATTTCGGTTGCCGGTTCATTATCTCTGACAATTCCATGTCTCAGGTCACTAGAACATATACAGGGTGAAATTTTTGGTGATTATTACTAGGGGTGGGAAAAATTATCGATATATCGATAATTATCGATAATAATTTGGAGAAAAATTATCGATTTATCGATATTATCGATATTATCGATATTATCGATATTATCGATATTATCGGAATTATCGATAATATCGGAATTATCGAAATAAAATTATCAAAATGAATGAGCATCAGAAAAATAGGTATTTTTGTTTTTTATACGGAACACCCTGTATAAAACAGATACCTGTTGGTAAGAATTGAGGTAAGAATGAAAATATAATAAGACACGCTACCCTGTACTAGCCTTGTTCAAACAACATAGGACTCCAGCACAGCAACTTGCCTGAAGCTATCTGACATCTGGCAACGTGGCAACCCTCATTAGTTGTGGTGGCTAACTTCTCGGTTAGTTATGTGTTGAACGAGTAACAAGTATCAAGTAAGGTGAGTTATCTAATTACATGGAATATATTTTTATTCGATCGCTCATTTCTTGAAGAATAATATAATGATAAAATAGCTTTGTTTATTATACCTACCTAGAAACCAAAAAGTAAATATAAAAAATTTGTTTTATAAATACCTTCGTCACGACTAGGGGTGAGAAAAATTATCGATATATCGATAATTATCGATAAATATCGATAATGATTTGGAGAAAAATTATCGATTTATCGATATTAATAATATCGATAATATCGATAATATCGATAATATCGATAATTATCGATAATATCGATAATATCGATAATTATCGATAATATCGATAATATCGATAATTATCGATAATATCGATAATATCGATAATATCGATAATATCGATAATTATCGATAATATCGATAATATCGATAATATCGATAATATCGATAATATCGATAAATCGATAATATCGATACATTAGGAATATCGATAATCGATATTTCAAAATCATTATCGCCCACCCCTAATTATTACTCTCTACTAAAAAATTACTGAATACAACCCTGGAAATAAAAGAATGTTGATTATTGTTGAGCTGAAGAATTGGAAATAATATTATCCCTACTTTTATTCGTGAAATTCATGCATTGCGAAGTATTAATTTTCAAATAAATACATTATTTGTTGCTCAAGTTTCGCGCGTGTAGTATAAATTGATCATTTTCTAAGAAATCCAATGGAAGTGTGAGGGAAATTTGAAATACTTCATTTCGGTTGCCTGTTCATCAACTTCAAAAATTCCATATCACAGTTCACTAAATCCTTATACAGGGGTTTTTGATATGAACCAAATTGGCAGAATTTCTCAAGACCGGTCCTGCATTTTTTTACGATTCTGGATACGTCAGGTGATTGCTGAGTGACAGCATCATCATTCATGAAAAAATGAAAGGAATCGAAAAAACTGTTGGAAAGTTGTGATTGAAAGAAGTTTTGGCCATATCCTATAAATCACCGTATAGATTATTTTTGAAGAGGCGGTCATTAGGTATTACCCTCAGGTGCATGTATTCTTAGTAGGAGCATGTATAGTTCCTCATGACCCACCCTGTATACACGTTCAGAAAACCAGAAGAGCAAGATTACAAAAATGAACATTTTTTGTTGTTGATGAAATGTCTTCTGGACACTTTGGCATAAATGCTATATTATCTCACCTGGAATTTCTGGTATATGTGGCTGTGATGTTAACCAGTCTTTAATAATTGCGATACACTTCGCCAGCTCTTCCTTACTCTTCTGATGTTTCTTTAGAGCAAGCTCTGACTGCCTAACCACCTCATCGAAATAATTCGTCCTAGCATCCATTTTTCTCTGTTTCTAATTTTTATGTTCACTAGTGTATTTTCTGTTGATACTAGTACCTGAAAAATGGAGAAGTCTGACAAAAACTGTACACACTTGATTGTGTTTATACCTTATCTTCTGATTAAAAGTGGAATAAGATTTTTTAATGCTTGGGAATTGGAGATAATAGACTAGCAATCGATCATGTTCGATTAATTGATAAAAAACATGAATCTGATATCCATTGATGACAATTTAATGGAAATAAGTGCCAATAACATGATTTTAGGAGAGTGGATAGTCGAAATTTGAATTGAATTGACTAGGCCGTTACTTGAGGGAAATCCATGACGAATGTAAAAACTTCACAAACGATACGATTTCCAAAAAATTCTCAAACACACGACATGATTCGCTAACACGCAGTAGCTTCGTCAGGTGATATACTGGTACAATGAACTAAACTAACGTTGGCTTGCTCAACTTTTATATATCTTACTTTCCCAAGCTGAAGGATTAGTTACCTGTGGACAGGTACGATCAACCTCCATTTTCGGAAATTAGGCACATTGAAATACGGTATACCAGATCAACTTGAAAGAGTTGAAAGCAAATACATATTATTACATACTAAGAAAACAAATTCAACAGTGTCAAACTATTGAGGTTGGGACGGATTCTCAATAATAATAAAGACAAAACTTCTAAATTCGAAAAATCTGGGGTATACAAACTCAACTGTGGATCTTGTCCTAAGGTATATATCGGTCAGACAGGTCGTACGTTCATGAACATAAGATGAATTTCATGAGAAAGGAAACGAATTCAACATACGCCCACCATACAGGGTGTTTCATTGGGAAAGGTAAATGATTCAACTGTGGATAGGGGTCACTGGGGTGATTTCAAAAAACCCATGGTTGATGGGTCTTCGACTTCTTATAACCGAGATACAGGATGTTTCATCAATTTTGTCCATATCTTCATTGTCTCATATAACTTTCCAACCAACCTGTATATATTTTTAAAAATTGGTAAACTTGCTCAATCTATCCTGTGGAATTGATTGAGGCAACAACAAAAGATAAAATCCAGGTCCGGCTTCACTTAAAATTCACAAATTCTTTCTGCCAGAAAACAACACCCTATACATTCGAATTTCTCATTTTTTTGCCATATCTGAAAAGAACATAAAAATTTCTATTCAAAGATGTGCTTTTTATTCGTGCACAGACGATTTAAACTATTCATATTTTGTGCTCAAAATATTATTTTTGCTCATTTTGTGGTACAAAATTGGAATCAGACGAGATTTATTAATTTTATTACTTCCTATTCAGTATACGTGAGTATTACATTCAGAAGGAGTATTTTATATCACCGTTCTTTGTTCCAGACTTAGTTGCAGGTCCGTCATCAAAACTATACAGGGCTTTTCACGATAAGCGTTAATTAGATGTTTCTGGCAAACCAGGCAACGGATAAATCTAAAAATTCGAAGGTATGTATAAATTAACATGATCCACACGTCTGAAATATTTGAAATAATCCGGCGTTGCCGCTTCTACTCGGAAGTAGCAGTTACTTTGATTTTTCAAATGAGACACCCTGGATGCTTCCTGAAGAGCTGATTCAATCGATTCACAAAGTTCGAGGTCTAGTGGGACTGAAAACTGATATATTGAGAGTGAGAAAAATCGAGATGTGTCAACTTTAGAATTATTTTGCAAAAATATTTATTATTGATCAAAACGGCTTATATGTCCCTATCTTAACTTTGTATCTATTGACATTTAATCGAAATAAATACAGGATGGTTCATCATTCAGATTTCTGCACCACCCTGTATCTGTTTCAATTGAATATCGAATGGAAAGTTGAGATACGGACATTGAAGCCGTTTTGACCATGCAATAATGGATAGTTTCAACACAAAACATTTCTAAAGTTGAAACATCTCGATTTTCCACATCCTCTATATCTCAGTTATCAGTCCCGCTAGACCTTGAATGTTTTGAATTGATGAATTCTGCTGTTCAGCAAGAATCCAAGAGTGTAATGAAATACAGGGTGTCCCATTTGAAAAACGAAGTTGCTGCTACTTTCTAGTAGAAGCGGCAAGGCCGGATCGTTTCAAATATTCCAGTAGTGTAGATTATGTTAATTTATACATACCATCAAAATTTCAGATTCATCCGTTGCCTGGTTTGCTAGAAATATCTAATTAACGCTTATCGTGAAAAGCCCTGTATAGTTTTGATGACGGACCTGCAACTAAGTCTGGAACAACGAACGATATGAAATACTCAAATACTCCATCTAAATGTAATAATAATAATAATAATAATGTTTATTTTCACTTTCTGAAGGGTACAAATAGAAAAATATACATACTTAATATTAGTGATAAATAAACGCTGACAACCACAAGGAAATAAATCCGCGCGTGGTGAGTATCTACGTTAAAGATATCGTGGAATTAGGTATACTTAATCTAGTTACAGTTGAGTACAGATTACACACATACTTATACATGGATACACATACACTCATACACCCGTGTATATATATACATATATAAACACATAAACACTATATACATCTGTAAAAATACACATATACCTACTTATATATAAAATGAAAAAGATAAACATGTAATACATTATATTATTAGAAGATATTTTTTTATATTAGTACTACGCACTAGTTCAAAATCAGCTGAATTCAAGTTAATCTATAACATGTTCGGCTTGTTGATATAAAATTTTGAAGGGTATCTAATGGAATAGTATGTATCCAAATTTTGACTTTTTTCTTGAATAGTACCACTGAGTTGATACTCTTCAAGTCAGATGGCAATTCATTGAAAAGTTTAGGTCCAAGATAGGTGTGACATTTTTGTCCTATTGTTTTCTCAGTTTTCGGTATCAAAGCTTTAGTTTTGTTTCTTGTGCTATACTGGTGATTGGGATGTATCAGATTCGACTTATTCTTGAATTGTTTGAGCAGGATTATCTTGGCATGAAGTTGATATATATTCAATATGGAAGCTTCTTGATATAGATTGTTAGATGGGTAGGTTCTTGGTTTTTTATACATGTTTTTGAGAATACTTTTTTGAATTTTTTGTAAGTTGTTGATAAGAGTGATTGACGCACCTCCCCATGCAATAATTCCATAGGTAAGGTGACTTTCGACCAGAGCGTAGTATAATATCTTAAGATAATTAGGTTTGATAAAATCAGAAAGATTTTTGAATTTGTAGACCATAGAGCGGAATTTTTTGATCACAGAGTTAATCTGCTTTTCCCATTTGAGGTGAGAATCTATATATATGCCTAGGTATTTAATGTTTTCGACAGACTTTATCTTTATTCCATTTGTTTCGCCAATACATGGTATATTCAGTTCATTATATGTTGGTAGATTGGAAGAGTACGATGTAAATGGTAGAAAGAATGTTTTTTTGTAATTAATTGTGAGAAGTTTATCATTGAAGAACTCTATTATATGTTGGAAATCTTTTTCAATGTTATGTTTTAATGTTATCCAGTCAGTAATACTCACGTATACTGAATAGGAAGTAATAAAATTAATGAATCTCGTCTGATTCCAATTTTGTACCCCAAAATGAGCAAAATAATATTTTGAGCACATAATATGAATAGTTAAAATCGTCTGTGCACGAATAAAAAGTATTCCACAGGGTAGATTGAGAGAGTGTACCAATTTTTAAAAATAAATACAGGTTGGTTGGAAAGTTATGAGACAATGAAGATATGTACAAAATTGATGAAACATCCTGTATCACGGTTATAAGAAGTCGAAGACCCATCAACCATGGGTTTTTTGAAATCACCCCAGTGACCCCTATCCACAGTTGAAATATTTACCTTTCCCAATGGAACACCCTGTATATTAGAAGAAAACCATAGTTTTGATGATAATTTCTGCACGTAGAAATTGAGTACTGAAACTCAATCATTTTGAATCATTGAAAATCAACAAACTCAGAGATTTTGATCAATAAGACCTCAATAGTTCACCAGTGTTGAATTTGTTTTCTTAGTAAGTAATAATATGTATTTGTCTTCAACTCTTTCAAGTTAACCCGGTATACCGTATTTTAATGTAGATATTGTGCCTAATTTCCCAAAATGGAGGTTTATCGTACCTGTTCACAGGTAACTAATCCTTTCAGCTTGAGAAAGTAAGATATATAAAAGTTAAGAAAGCCAACGTTTCAGTTTAATTCTTTGTACCAGTATATCACGTAACGAAGCTACTGTGTTAGCGAGACATGTCGTGTGTTTGAGAATTTTGTGGAAATCTTATCGTTTGTGAAGATTTCACATGAATCACTGTGTGTCTGTATATTCGATGAGGTCCTAAGAATTTCTCCAAAACTCCGTTTCAGCTATATACCAATGATAAAAAAGAGTAGATGGTTTACAGTGTGTCCAGAGTTTTCGACGCTTTTGCGTGATATCTCAGTTATCTTTGAAGATAGAACCTTGCGGTTCTCACGATCCTCAGTCACTCTATTGTGAAACTCAAGATGACCTCATGAAATTTTGCATAACTGTTTCCGTTTATGAGATGCAGGGCGATTTTGAAAATTCATACTTTTTGAACCCCCCCTATATCTACGGAGTTTCTTAGCAAAAATGGCGAATTGAAATCTCATCCTATAATGAATTTCACGCAGAATCCAGTGGCGCACTCAATTTTTTCTTCGGGTTACGGTTCTGCAGATACGATTCAAACTTATGATTTTTCAAATGTATTCTATAAGATCATTAAATTCCTCATTACCATCCCTTCAAAATAATTTATGATGTATAGATTCGAAATTTTCAAAAATGCTCAGAAATCACAAAAACATCGAATTTCAATGGATTTCTAATATGAAAATAAACTGGTCAAAATTGATAACGTCGTGCTTCAAAATATAGCCTCAATTCAAAGTAGACTGAATCACGAATTTCCTCACCAATTTGAAATCGGTTTTCACCGATGATTAGCCT